CAGCTGCCTTTTGGAAAGCCATCAGGACACTGCAACAAGAAATCCCTGTACAGCCATCATGTGTGCTCCTACCCTAGACATCTACACAATCTCCTACTGTTCGTCCATCCTGAAGGTCAAAAGGTAGGCTACTTTCCACGGCATTTAACTGTGTCACCTGAAGACACAAACAGTGGATGTGTCCTTGCTAAATCACCTCTGTCCTAAAGCTGAAGAAGCTCAACCTCTCTGCCATATAATCAAGGGGAGTATTCTTGCATGTCCCTGATTTTTGGGTGTGAAGGGGCTCCAAAGCCACATTTATCTCCCTCTCTGTAGTCTGTGCTATCACTGAACATGTAACAGAGCTTCTGAGCAGAGAAATGTTGTCACATGAGGAAAAGAGATAAAATAAATAATTGTAGGAAGAAAAAATACATTTGACTTCAAGCCTCAGGTGCGCACCTCTTCGATTGCGGTATGCAGAAGAACTGATCTAATGACTAAGAAACAGCGGTAGGTTTGGGGGAAGGTTTCTTTTCTCACATTAAATTAGTTGTTAGCCTATGAATGTTTTCAGAAACTTGTGGCTGTGCTGACTTGACAGAAAAACAGAACATCTAAGAGTCACCATAAAAGTTATTTGAAACCTAAGAAGTGCTTGTCACCTGTCTGGCATACAAAAACAAGCATGATGTGTCCTGACTTGGTACCTCATGCTTCTAAAAAAAATCCTAAACACCAAGGGAAACTGAAATGCCCCTGTTTGGAGGGTCCCTCTCTAAGAACAGCGGGTTTAGCTGGGAGGAAATCCATCACTTGAACAGCTCTGTCAGCTAACATCCAAGAATTGCTCTAGCAAATCCTAGACACAGAGCATCTCACAGTTCATAACCTCATTCAGTCGAAGCTTGGGAGATATAATTGATTTCTTAAAGTGACTCAGAGTTCCAGTTCTCAATGAGATGCTAATGGTTATCTTACACAAGCGGAGGCAGACAGGTAAGACACATTAAGGAATCAAGCAGAGCTCTGCTTGAAACATCAGCTAATGCTATCACCCTTTCTTAACCTTCATTTGCTGTTTAAAAAGGTTTTTTTCATACAGGAGCCTAGCCAGAATGGTGTTAGCTAATAGCATTAAAAACATGCTTCACTAAAACAATAGGAGTGTTTTATTCATTTTGGCTTTCTTTTTCACAAACTGGGTCCTTGTCAGTCTATGTGAAGGTGAAAATACTGTACCTCTGAAACAGAGCAATGTTACAGAGGCTGCAAGGCAACCATGGGGACTTTCTAAAAGATGCTATATTTGCAAAGTTTAGATCAGCATTAGCAGAACACCTATGTTGACCAAACTATTTTTAAAAAGCGCAGCTATTTCCTAAGTGGTTTTTTTTTTGCCAATGATAAATTTAAATAAAAAGTTCCAAGATTTTTTGTATTTTTGTCCAAAAGGAGAGCAGATTCCAAACTAAGGGACTGACAGTTCTCACGACACCAAATTGTTTAACTGCAGATGCATTTAATCCTGCAGCACTTCTCACAACTGCCCTCCTTTTCCCTTCCAAGAGCAGGGCTGAACTCTGTTGCGGTGGACATTTGCTACACGGCCAGCAGCACAGACTAGGGCTGTAAACAGCTCGATCCAGCCTACGCCATGCCACAGGAACGCATCCCACAGTAACTCCAGAACACAGCTGCAGTGTGCCACCACCTCCTGCTGACGGCAGCTAAAGACACAAAAAAAGCATGGTCTAACCCAGCACAGGGCTAACAAACATCCTGACAGCAACGTCCTACTCGGGCAGGCTCACAAAAGCTCCCCCCCAGTGGCATTATCTCAGCCCCTCCAACACAGCGTAGTGCAGCAGCACCGTCACTGAACTCTCACTCACTGGTGCCCTTGCTCTCATCTATCAGTGATGACAGTGACAGGGAAACACTACTTATGATATGTTTATACATAAACAGCTTCCAAGTGGAGCTACTCATTATCAATGCTGACAGCTTTGAAGGGGAAAGCAAACGGCATTTGGCAGCAACAGCTCTTAATGAGAACATTCATTGTTAACGAACATGGTCTGCAGATGAGAAGTGATTTCTAGAGCACGAGGCTGATAACTCTGACATTCCTCTTCTCTCCCATTAACTACAGATAGGCCTGTCATTCTGGGTATGTTGCATCCCAAACACAGCATTTACAGATACAGGGAGCTGGGGTTTGTCAGAAGAGCACTGGCACCCTGCCAAGCACAGGATTTCTGGGACTGTTTTTCCTGCTTAAAAGGAATCAGGGAGTGGACTCAACGAGCAGCAGATAAAAATAAGCTTAACAGTGCAGAGAGGAGAAATCTGACAACAAAGTACAACCCAGGTGAAATCACAGACAGGAAAGGAGACCTCTCTGTCACCATATTTAATGTGCATGAAGCATCACTTCCAACTGACGGCCTTGGCTGAGGTGAATCCACATTCCAGCCCACCACCTTCTCAGAGGTGTCATCCAGGGCAGGACTGGAAACACTTCATCCAAATGACAGGCTTTACTGCGCAGCGTTGTATATCATCAGTCAGATGCAAACATAGAAGTTAATTTTTAGGCAACTCACTTTCAGAAGTATGTCCACAATTCTCTGCTGATATTCCACAGCTTGCTTGTCATTCTTAAAGTCTTCAAAAGTCTGCATGAGGCAAAACACTGACACCTTGAGAAGAATGCTCCCCACTGCCAACCCCAGAAATACCAGCAAACACAAAGAAGCAGCCATATCACAAAGCTGACGATGCTTTTAAGTCCTTTCTGTGCTTATCGCCTAAGCAGCAGGTTCCAAGATACCATTTGCTCTTTTGTAACTACCAAAATGGTTCTTACATATTCAGGTAAAAGTAACAGGTCCAGATAGACAGAGGGAAATCAAGAAATTTGGAAAGGAAGAAGGATGAATCTTTATGCAGGAAAAAGATGTAGGTACTAAAACACTCTTTACAAATACATTATTCTTGTTTCACCTGTGCTTTAAAGATGGCCTCTGTTACTACAGTCTTCATTGTTTTAGATCATGTTCATCAACTTATATTTAAGGACATAAAGGACTATTATGATCTACTCTGATAGCTTACAGTACACACATCAAAACTGTTCCTGCATCAAGCCAGTACCTACTGGTTTAGCTAAAGCATGAACTTTTTAACAGGAATCTTACAGATCATGCAATCATGAAACAGGTGATGGAAGAACTGGCATTGTGTTTTTCTCTTGGAGACCAGTGATCTCTTACCAGAGCAAGAACATTAAGGAATTCCCGAGTGTCAAAGTGCAGCAAGGTACGAACATAAGGGTAGACCTCTTCATCCACAGATCCCTCAGTTGAATGCAGTCGGATGAGAAATTCAAAGACCTGCAATGAAAATTCAAACAAACACAGCAGATTTCCTATGCATTTCAGGTAACTGATAGCACAAGCAGATGGGAAAGCAGCATCGTTACCTGCTTTGCACTTAAGCTTTAAAGCACCTTAGGAATCCACCAGTGTTCTTACCTGAATCATGTTTTCTGCTGCTTGTTAGTAGGAAAAAAATTCCCCCTCCTTAGACTTGTCAACCAATTTAAGATCAATCAAAATTTAAGATCAAGCAGAAATTAAGGCTTATACTTGCAGAGAGAAGCATGTGAAATTAGATAACTCCCTCTCCTTCCTGACAGCTCTCCTGAGAAGCTGTGCAACTCCTTATCCAGGGCACAGCTCCTTTCCTTGACAGCAGTTCCCTTGGGAAGAGCCAGTCAATCCGCCGCCTCACTGTGAGGCACAAAGTTTTTGGCACTGCAAAGACTCACTTTGGTGCTATTCAACTCTCTCTCTCCTCCACTGACTTAGTAGTTCCTGAAATTTGAGCATGTCTTTCAAAATGAAGGCAACTCCTTTTACTGAACCACTGATAGAGGTGTCCAGACCCTCCCAGGGAACGAACAGGGCAGCGACAGCTCCAATTGTCTCAAACACACTCACAACGGATCTGGCTACCAGCAGAAAGTGAGCAGACTGCTGCAGACTGGCTGGCACTCCTGAGTACGTGCTAAGATACGCAATGGGATCCCATGGAGAACTGACAGGCAGCACACTCTCCCAGCCATCCTCAGGAAATGCCACGTTCTCTCATTTACTCCTATTTCGAATTAATTTTCCTGTCACCACAGTGGCAGTGAAGCCAGGAGGAGTTAGCAGCTTGACTTCCAGACCCACAGCCTTCCCCTGTTGGCCTCCTTGAACCTGATACCCACCTGCCAGCTAGGAACTCTTAAGAAGAAAAAAAACCAAAACCTGCAGACTGTAGCTACAGTGAATTCAAGTATCAAGACAGAAAGGTGTTACTTCAAGCCAAGCTCTCAGGAACACTATCAGAGGTCATAAAAAAAAAGAGAGGTTGATGGTTCCTCCCCAGAGCTACTGGTGTTGGTTGGGCTATCGCTTGCCCTCAGACCTTGAGCCACAGCCTGTTGCTGTGCCAGCTCCAGCGTGCGCAGGGGACAACTCGATAAGGACCATGGGAGAGGGCAACAGCCTAGTGCTTGATCCAGCAAAGGGGAACAGACTGGTTTCTACATCCTGTGAGGAAAGGGTTTGCAGTAACCCAGAGCTACTACCACATATATATAGCTACAAGCTGTGGATGGGGGGGGGAACACAACCAAAAAAACCACCCCACAACCAAAAAAATACCTGTTCCATTGTACTGCAAAGAGAAATTGCAAAACAGAAAGCGCCTCCACTTACTGAAACCCTGAAACTAAAGTGAAATGCTAGAGATCTCAAAAGAATATTTGCGGTAAAAGTGTCCAGAAACTCTTTCCTGAGTTTTATGAGCACAAAATGATGATCAGGAGCATCCTCTGTTTTAAGAAATTGTCAGAGATGACTCCAAAGGAGTTACGCTTTGCCTTAGGCTAAGCTTCGGACACAGTTTAAAGAGAAAGAAATAGTCAGCTTGAGGGCTCTGATGGAAATAATGAATAAGGAAAGGAGATCTACTCAGCAGTGACCAAGTCAACTTTCCTGACACTTAACCTGCATGTCTAGTCATGCTTTTGGCATAAGTTCACTCTGATTTTAGCTACGTATTCTCTCCCTGTGATGAAACCATTAAGAACACACTCACACCTGTCCTGGACATATATTTAAGGCATATGCAATAGTACTTGTTGCCTTGAAACAATGTGCCAATCTCTTGGGCAATCCCAATAGAAAAGGCTATTTTTCCCCAACACGAAAGCTACCGCTGTAGATTTGGAACAGTGTGATGAATCCGATTAGCCAAAGATGGTCCATTGCACAGGGTGGCAAAGAATGACATGAAGAGATGCAGCTCAAGAACCAAACCTTGTCCTAAAGGCGGACAGTAGGATAAGCCAGCACTGTCACAGGATACTAGCAGCACACAGAAGCTGGAAAGCATCAGCTGCTGTTCCTGAAATGTCCTGGGAAGACGATTTGGATGTTAGGTCACAGGTCTTCCTTAGAGGGACTAGGCAGAACAACAAAAGAACAAGGGATGGGTAGTCAGCCTGTGCTCAGCCCACAGGGTGTAAAACAAGCAGCTTCAGAGAGTATAAACATAGGTATAGACTTTCCTGAGGCAGCTATGATCCTGCCTTATGAGCAGAACAGCTGGACATGCTCAGGGCCAACTCTCCCAAACTAAGGAGGGCCAAGGTGGGTGGATGAACAGGAATATAGTACCAGCCTATTGCCTCCTAACTAGAGCTGGATCAGACTGAGAAAGCAGACAATCTTAACAGAGTCACCACAAGACTGGAAAATATCAAGCCATAGGTTGCTTTATGCCTTTTCTCAAGGGCAGGAAGAAACTAGCTACCTTTCAACTAAGTTGTCTCAAAGTGGCACTGACTATCAGAGAAGGGAAATTGTCTTTTCTTACACCATTACTGTGGAACAGTCTTTTAGGAAAGCCTCTTCCCTTAAGGCTGTGGGCAGGAGGCAGTAACAAGGACATAATGGAAGGAGTTGCCAAACAGCCTGAATCACAGACCTCACAGCCATCACAGATTCACCTCAGCTCCAAACCTCAGATACAGTCATAGACATTAGGGACATCAGGAATGTAACCTGTAGGCCAATCCAAAAGTATCCATACAAACAGCTGGAATCGCATCAACTGGAATCAAATGCTAGGATAACAGGTGTTTAAGTTCAGAACTTACTGCATCTGCCTTTCTCTCCAAGTACCAAAGGACATCTAACAT